GTCATCATGATCATCGTCGTCATCACCATCATCGTCATGATCGTCGAGCGTGTGAGTCAGAGTGAGGAGAGCAGGAGGAGAGGAAGGTGTTGGTGAGGACTCGGCGCAGTGGGAGTAATTATTCACTGCGTGGAGCTCCCCATACGTGCATCTATTTGCATGGATCTGTCCGCCGTGAGTGTCTAGGCGCAAGAGTTTTCAAATATTCACGGGCTTGAGTATTGACGGTCTGGGAGTGAATCTGACTGTGAATGAGTTGGAGTGTGAATGAGTCTCAGTAGTACGAGCGCATCTCTGCGCATGAGCCTGGGGCCTCCTGGGGCTTCCTGTAGCCTGCTGGGGCTTCCTGTAGCCTGCTGGGACCTCGTGTGGTCTTCTGGGGCCTCCTGGAGCCTCCTGGAGCCTCCTGGGGAATCCTGGGGAGGATTCGTGCCCCAGGAGAAGCCCAATTTATAGGACCGAAAGGGCGCGTTCTGTGGTCGCTTGGAGGGGGGGGGGGTTGGGGTTTGGAACCGGACCCCTTCCCCCCCCTGGATGAAGGGGGGGGGGTTCGAACCCCCTCCCTCTCCCGTGACGGAGGGGGGGGTGTTTCACCCCCCCCCTCCCCTACTTTTCCTTTCTCCCTTTCCTCGGGCCGGCGCCTGCGTCGGCCTCGGCTGGCGGGGGCGACGACTTCCTTTTCTGGGCCGGCGCCAGCGCCTGCGGCGGCGGGCGGCGGCGGCGGGGAGCGTCGACGAGCACGACGGCGACGACGATGACGACGACGACGACGCTCCGCCACTGTGCCTTGGTTTTGGGTCAGAGTCCTGATGGATGCCTCTTGGGGTCTCGTCGGAGGGCTCTCGAGGGCCTTTGAAGCGCATTTGTGAAGCCTCCTGGGCGCCTCTTGGGCGTCTCTTGGGGCCTCTCTGAGGTGGTGGTGGCGGTGGGCTGTGGTGGTGGTGGTGGTGGTTGTGGCGGTGGTGGTGGTGGCGATGGTGGTGAGGGTGGTGGTTGTTGTGGTGGTTGTGATGGCAGGTTGTGGTGGTGTTGGTGGTAGTAGCGGTGATGGTGGTAGTGCGGTGGTTTCTGGTTGTGGTGGCGATGGTAGTTGTGGTGGTGGTGGTGGTGGTGGGTTAAGGTGGTGGTGGTGGTGGCGGTGGTGGTGTGATGGTTTGTCGTGGTGGTTGTGGTGGTTGTGGTGGTTGTGGTGGTGGTGGTGGGTCATTGTGGTTGTGGTTTGTGGAGGTGGTGCTGGTGGTGGTGGTGGTGGTGGTGGTGGCAGTGGTGGTGGTGGCGTGGTGGTTTGTGGTGGTGGGCGGTGCTGGTGGTGGTGGTGGTGGTCGTGGTGGTGGTGGTGGTCGTGGTGGTTTGTGGTGGTAGTGGTGGTGGTGGTGGTGGGTTGTGGTGCTGATGGTGGCGGTGGTAGTGGTTGTGGTTTTGGTTGTGTGGTGGTTTGTTGTGGTGGTAGTGGCTGTGGTGGTGGTGGTGGTGGTTCGTGGTGGTGGTGGTGGTGGTGGTTGGTGGTCATGTGGTGGTGGTGGTGGTGGGTTGTAATGGTGGTGGTGGCAATGGTTGTGGTGGTGGTGGCATGGTGATTTGTGGTGGTGTTGGTGGCGGTGGTGGTGGTGGCGGTGGTTTGTGGAGGTGGTGCTGGTGGTGGTGGTGGTGGTGGTGGTGGTGTGGTGGTGGTGGCGTGGTGGTTTGTGGCGGTGGTGGTGTGGTGGGTTGTAGTGGTGGTGGCATGGTGGTGGTGGTGGTTGTTGCGATGGTGGCATGGTGGTGTGGTAGATTTTGGTGGTGGGTCGTTGTGGCGGTGGTGGTGGTGAGTTGTTGTGGTGGTGGTGGTGGCTGTGGTGGTGGTGGTGGTGGTTGTGTGGTGGTTTGGTGGTGGTGGTGGTGGGTTGAGGTGGTGGTGGTGGTATTGGTGGTGGTGGTGGTGGCGTGGTGGTTTGTGGTGGTGGTGCTGCTGCTGATAGCGGTGCTGGTGGTGGTGGTGGGTGGTGGGTGGTGGGTGGTGGGTGGTGGTGGCGGTAGTGGTGGTGGTTGTGGTGGTGGTGGTGAAGTGGTTAGTGGTGGTGGTGGTGGTGGTGGTGGTGGGTTGTGGTGATGGTTGTGGTGGTGGCGGTGGTGGTGATGGTGCTGGTAATTGTGTGGTGGCTTTTGGTGATGTTGGTGGTGATGGTTGTGGTGGGTTGTGGTGGTCCTGGTGGTGGTGGCGTTTTTGGTGGTGGTTGTGTAGTGGTTTGTTGTCCTGGTGGTGGTTGTGGTGGTTGTGGTGGTGGTGGTGGTGGTTGTGGTGGTGGTGGTGGTGGTGTTGTGGTTTGTGGTGGTGGTGGTGGTGTGTCCTTCGGCTCTTCCTGTCACCGTGTTTTGGCTTTGGGTCAGAGATCTAATGGATGCCTCTTGAGGTCTCGTTAGAAGGATCTCGGGGGCGTCTGAGGAGCATGTGTGAAGCCTCGTTGACTTTCCTAAGGGTCTCTCGGTGGCCTCTGGGGGGCGAGGTCTCGATATGGCTATTTGTGTGTTCCCTCTGCGGCCTCTGGGCCCTCTCTGGAAATCGTCGCTGTCCCCGCTGTCGGCGTTGCTGGCCGCCGCCAGCGCCGCCGCCAGCGCCGGCGCCGGTGCCGGCGCCGGCGCTGGGGGGGGGTTCGGACCCCCCCCCCTTTGAGAAGGGGGGGGGGTCGGGAGGGGGGGGTTAGGGGGGAGGGGAGTCCCCCTGGTTCTGATCGGCGGCGCCGAGTGTTTGAGGGGGGCCCCTCCGGTTCGAAACGCGCCGCCGAATGTTCCCAAGGCAAGCGCCCATGAAACGCGCCCTCTCATAGGACCAGACGTGCATCAAGCACTGCGGATTGGAGCCGCAGGAGAAGGGCAATCTAATAGGAAAACACGTAAAGCACCAGGGACTCGTGGCCCCAGGGGAGGCCCAATCTATAGGAACATATGTAAAACATTTAGTCTTGGATACACAGGAGAAAGATAATCTATAGAAGCGTACGTAACGCACCAAGGATTCGTACTCCAGGGGAGGCCAAATCTATAGGAGCATACGTGCAACGCATAGGATTGGAGCCACTCCTGTGGCCTTCTGAGGCCTCTTGCTCCCGGGGCCTCTTGGGACCTCCTTGTGCCTTCCGGGGCCTCCTGGTGCCTCCTGGCGCTTCCTGTGGCCTCCTGGGGCCTCCTGTGGCTTCCTGTGGCCTCCTGGGGCATCCTGGAGCCTCTTGAGGCCTTCTGGAGCTTCCTGGGCCCTCCTGGAGCCTCTTGGGGCATCCTGTGGCCTCTTGAGTCTTCCTGTGGCCTCCTGATGCCTCCTGGGACCTCCTGTGGCATCCTGGGGCCTCCTGCAGCCTGCTGGAGCCTCTTGTGGCATCCTGGGGAGGATCCGTGCCCACGAGTCTGGCCACCAAAAGAAGCAAACCGATCGAGACATCCTCACATTCTGGCCCCACTTGGGGGCAAACATGAGCGCCTCGCTCGAGACATCCTCCACATCTGCCCCGAACGCGGAGGATGTCGGGTGGTGAAACTGGCAAACCGCTCGAGACATCCCCGCCCTTTTGGCGCGAACGGAGGAGTGAGATATCCCCTTGGGGGTGCTGAAATCCGCGCCTCGCTCGAGACATTATCAGAATTTGCTCCGCCAGCATCATCATCACCATCATCATCATTACCACCATCATTATCACCATCACCATAACACAACATATCAACACAAGACAACACACACACATTGTCATACCATAACAGAACGTGTCAACACAAAACATCACAACCCATATCATACCATATCATATCATAGCATCGCATGCCATATAACGTCTCACCCTACCATTTCATACCATAACAAGCCATACCATCGCACACCATAACGTAGCATACCATACCATACCATATCATATCAAGCCATACCATAGTATACCATTCCATCACATCACATACCATACCATACCATCTCATGACAATTCACCACACAGCATAATATCACTACATACCATAATATACCATACTGAACCATAACATGAGGAGAAAGAGGAGGAAGGGGAAGGAGTCGGCGCGGTCGGAGTAATAGCAATAACCTCATCTGTTGGATATGGGGAATAACGAGAACCCCCTCCTTAGGATATGGGGGATAAACCGCAATAGGCCAGCTCTCCGCTTTGCGGGAGGCCCATCCCTGAACCTGAGACTACTTGATTGACAGGATCTTCAGAATCTTTCCAGGTGTGCCAGGACAAACTGGCACGTGAGCAATAAACGAATGACTTCATTCAGCGTGCTGCACATGGCATCCCGCGTGTCGAACAGGGACAAGAAGCGAGCTGACTGTCAGACAACATTGGCAGAGAGGATCGTCTTTTCCGGCCAGTCACAGCCGGGGAGCTGTGTTCGTTACCTCGTGTCGGGGAGCCCATCGTTTTCACGATTTCCCCGAGGGGGGGGTCGACGCCGACGGGCTGCCCGGATGGGGGGGGTAAGAAATGCAGCTCCCACGGCTGTGGCTGGCGTGGAGATGTGGGCGAGGGGGAGGGGAGGTGGGGCTCGCCACCAAAGCTGACAAGCCTGCCAGATGATGTATGCTCAGGAGCAGAAGGAACACACAGACACAATTAATCGTCGATTCCCGAGAAAATGCGGGAAAATATGGGAAGTGGGGGGGAAGACAAAAACCCAGAAAATATGGGAACGTAGGGGGAATCCAGTTATTTGTGTGTATTTATTTGTGTGTCTTAGGGCCCCTTCATATGCGGAGGCAAGCGAGCGTCTTGGGTTTCTTTTGTTAGGGCGCCTACATTTTGGTGCTCTTCTCCCTTTCTTCTGAACCGCTGGGGTCCGACCAGGTAGACGCTCTGCGTCGCCGCTTGCGGCCATGCAGTCGCGTGCGGGGGGCGAGTGCCGACCGTGGCTTCAGCATATTCCCAGCTAAGAGCAACCAATGAACCCTGACCTTCAAACAAGTGGGGCGGAGTGAGAGGAAGCGAGTTCAGATGATATGACTTGTAGGACCTTTCGTCTGCCAGGCCCTCTTGTTGGAGAACCTTCGACGGCCACATCTACAACGGGCAGCTCTACTTCCTCTGCAGCGCTGCCGGTGCCTGCCAGCGTGACCAGCACTGTTGGCAGCTCCGTCCTTGCGTGCATATTTTTGGTGATGGAGTGACTGCATGCTGATCCCTGCTGATTTCTGTACTGCTTATTCCTGCCATCTTGCACGTATCCCGGTTGATCATTCAGGCGACCTGCGATTTTGAGTTTGCGTCGCCAAAGGGAACTCGAGGGACCTGTGAGCTTGTATTCTTGCTCAGTTTCTCAGGCGACCTGTGCGATTTTAGTCTGCATCGTCAAAAGGAGCTCAAAGGATCGCGTCTCAGAGTGTGCCCTCAGAGGTTGCATACTCTGTGAATCCGATCTGGCCGTTGTCCCTGAGCAGCATGGACAGGATTCCCACGAGTGGCCTGGGCACTGGGTGTTCCTTCCCCGTGTCAAGTCGGTTGCCAGACAAATGCTCAGGCGAAACTATTCGGAATGACCAGCTGCTGGTGTGGACGACGCGGCTTAATCTTTTTGTAGTTCTCTTTCCTGCCGTCTTGGACGTTCTGGCAGAGCCACTCCGTCTTCAAGGACAGGAGTCGTGTCGGTTGCTGCATCTGGCTGCTGTGCTGCGCATGCGAACGTATTGCGTTTGCGCTCAGCAGGGCTGTCACCACCTACTGTACTTAGGCCACACCTTTTTCTGTAAGTCTGGACTGCCGTGTCCAAACACGCAGTCGGCCACCGTGCTGACATCGTCGCTTGCGTACGACGGCGCAGATGCTGGACAGGCCGACGGCTTCACTATCATCGACAGTATCAACACATGCACTACCCTGTGTGCACACTCCATGAGTGAGGTAGTTTCTCTTGCAATATTGCGAACGTGTTACAGCAACCTCTTGACGTGTTTTTTTTGAACAAGACCTGTTGTTCCACTTTGTCCGCCATTTCTCTGACACTGTACATGTCTATTCGGGTCCGTGTGTGTGCATCCATGGTCGTACGTGCATTGTCAGCTCAGTTCACGAATTTGTATGTGATTCGTCCGGATCGTTGGCAGCATCCCTGGTATCATGCGTATGCAGTTGCTCATTCGTGCTCAGGCGTGCACGCACACATACTTACATGCTCACGCACATCCAAAGACGCATGCGTACGCACATGCATATTTGTTTTCGGCCCGCTCGCCAACATGTGTTGAAATGGAACGGGGGCGTGGCCCCCAGCAGTGCCACCATGACAATATCATGCGGCCAACCAGCGCCGGGTCTCCGTCGATGGCTGGTGACCTGTTGGCGACTTGGCAGGAACTAGCAGCTGCAACTGGCGTTGGCACCGCCAGGGCTGGTGCGGCTTGACATGGGGCTACCAGGGGCTAGCGCTGGTGGCCACAGGCGCTGGCGCCGCTTCGGGCTGGCGGGGCTGGGCAGGGATTCGCATGGGCAAGCGGCTGCTGACGTCCAGAGCTGGCCTCCCACGGGGGTAGTGGGCCTAGCCAGGGACCAGTGACGGCAACGGCCGCTCCCACCACCCAGCGCTGGTTGGGCTCGGCAGGCGCGTTAGGAGCTAGCGCAGTGGCCGCCAGGACCAGGGTCAAAAGCAGGCATGGCGCCATTCATTGTTAGCGAGGCCCAGCAGAGTTTGTGGGGTACTTCCTAGCAGCGGTACCTGTCGTTGGCGCCACCCTGGGCTAGTGAAGCCAGGCATCGGCCAGTAGGGGCTGATGGTTGTGGCAATCAGCGTCGGCGTAATCAAAGGTCAGTGGGGCTTGGCAGTCGCTACAAGCGAAGCTGATGCCGCCTGGGGCCAGTGTGGCTCGGCAGACGGTAGTAGCGGCGAGTGGCGGCAATCGTCTCTGGCGCAAGATGGCAAGAGCTAAGCCGTGGCGGCAATCTGGGTTGCCGCCGCCTGCAAGCCAAAAGCTAGCAGAGACTAGCTAGCAATGGTCATCGGCTTCGACGCTGCGCAGGCCTTGTGGGGCTAGGCAGGGGCTAACGCAGACGAGGGGTGACAACTGGCGCTGGTGCCATCGAGGGCTGCTAGAGGGGTAGGCAGGGAATCGTAGATAAGGCGGTGGCCGCCGCCGAGGGCCAGTGGGCTAATTCAGGGGCCACTATAGGGCTTGTGGTCGCAATCGGCGTTGGTGCCGCCCGGGGTCTGAGGGGCCAGGCAGGGGCTAACGTGGGCAAGCCGTGGCGTCAACCGGGGTTGGCTCCGTCTGGGGCCAATGGCTTGCGATATGATGGTCTGGGCGGCGGCAGCCACAGATTTCCTGAGCTCCCCTGTGCTTCTGGGTCCTCGTTTAGAATACGCCGCGCCGCGCGTCTATTTTCCTCCTTCCTGCCCCCCCTGCTCCTCCGCATTCTGATCTTTCTCCCCCATTCCTCCTGTGGTGTTGGGCCCTCGTTTTGCATTCGCAGCGTCCCGCGTCTCACCTCCTCACCTCCTCGCCCCACCCTCCTCTCTTCATTCTCTTCTCTCTGCCTCTGCTCTCCGTCCGCGTGTCTATTCAGGCACACCTCTCTCTCTATATCCCTCCCTCCCTCTCTCTCTCTATCTGTCTGTCTGTCTGTCTCTCTCTCTCACTGTTTCACTCACCCACTAACTCATTCATTCACTCGTGACCCGGTCGAGAGATCCACCCACTGTCGTGACCACAGGGGGCTCCCCCTACAGCCTCAGTGGGCGCGGGCGCCTACCGCCACGGCCGATGTCGGGACACCCCTCGCACGGTGCCTGTCCCCATCGAGAGCTCCGCCTACGGCCCCGGCGGGTGCGGGCGCACGCCGCCGTGGCCAACGTCGGCACACCCCTCACACGTTGCGCGCGCCCATCGGTGGTTTCGCTCACGGACCGGATGCGCTTCCGATGAAATGCTCGTCTTCCGTGTACCCGAAGACACTGCTGGCTCCTGGTCAACAAGTCTTGAATGCTTGTCCAGGAACCTGCGTCAGCGCCAGTTCCAATTGTTATTGTAGCGCAGCGGTGCGGGCATAGTGCACGATTCGGAGGAGACGGCCGAAGAAGCTGTCGCGCGCGCAGCACACCGACTAGCAGGCGAGGAGTACTGCAATGCGCTCACAGTCAAGCAACCGAACCAATAAACATGCGCAACCAGGAAAACAGCTGCATGCAAACGCACGAGGACTCATTCAAGTAGATGTGCGTTTGCACATCTGAGCGCGCACGTGGACACGCGCACGTAAGCAAACAAGCTCGACCAAGTAAGGACGCCTTTACGCACAGTCGGCCGAACTAGCACTCGAGGGACGTGTTGGTTGGAGTTCCTGGGGACGCGCCGATTTCTGCCAGATTTCGGGCGTCCGAGCGGCCAGGAATCCCTGCTGTTCTCCGCTCTCGCCCCTCCGAACGCTGTCACCGTCGAGCACGTCCTCGCGCGCGCGCGCGTGGCAACACGGCTGAGATGTCCGTGCTGGCGCGGAGGCGCGTCCCCGCTCTCTCCTGGCGCGGGGCACGGGCTGCGGTGGTGCGCAGCACTGCGCCGCAGAGCGACTGCCGCGACCGCTGCCGCCAGCCCGCGGGCCCCCTGCCTGCTCGTGCTGCCTGCCACCGATGCGGCGCCCGGCCACGGCCGCGCACCGCCGCCCGCCGCTGCTGCCGGTGCCGCTCCCGCTGCCGCCCCCTGGCCGCCGCGGACGTTGTGAGACGTGCTCGCGGCCCCCATGCTCGGAAACGCGAGCATCTGCATCACCAGTGGCGGGCTGTTTTTCAAGCCCCGCATTTTTGGAGGGTCGAGGGCGACGTCGGGGTGGTGTGGTGTATACTTTTCCCTGACTCCTCAGGGACACAACGGAAAATGTATACACCAGGACACCATGAACACCAGGATCCGCTTTCTTGTGAGAGTTTCAGCGCAGGGCCGGAGAAAGCGTTGGTGTATAGAGTTCGGTTCCCTACTTGACGTCGCGACGCGCTCTGTCACGACGCGGGCCCAAGGAGCCTCTCCACCCTGTCCCCAGGACGAGTCTCTCGCAGCGGGTTGTCTCGGTGCTTTTGTTGGCCCCTGGGTCGCAGCAACCAGTTCACCCCTCATTTCGGGCGTCGCAGTTGTTTCGTGGCGTGGACCACCGGCGTTCTCGACCCTTTGCTCGGGGCCAGTGATTCGTCCCGTATTGTCTTTTGACGGCCCTGGGTCCGATACATGCTTTCCCGAGGCCAAAGACTCCGGAAAGCGGCCGCCACTGTTTTCAGGACGCTCGGATGTGAGGGCTAAGGCGCCGAGGTCGTAGAAAGGAGCGCCAGTCGGTGATCTCTGGCGGCGCCCGCACCCCTGGGCTGCCCCCGCGCGCGTGCGGCTCACGGCTCTTTGCCCTGCTCCTTCTCGCCGGGCGGGGCGAGGGGGGCTGCCCGGTGCGGGGGGTGCCTCCGCTGTAGGCGCATCGGAGAAGAGATCGACCTGCCTGCGGGTGTCCCGTGGAAGTCGCTCGTTCACCAGTGGCTCTGGGGACCCCCCACCCAATGGGGTCCTGGGGCGCCCCAGGAAGATGTAGGATCGGGGGCCCCCCCCATCATCAGATGCGGGTTTCGCCAGCGTTGCATCGCCACAGTCGGCTTCTCGACGCTCGCGGCCTCCAGGAGCAGTCTGGCGGCACCTTGGGGCTGTCAGAACACGGCTCTGGACGAGAAGCTGGCCCTCGGAAGGGGCCGAGGCCTCCGTGGGGCCCCCGTCACGAACAGACGCCAGAGGAGGGGGAGGAGTCCTGAGAAGCATCCGAGGGCTCGGTTTCGCTGGGGTGTGTGCCTCCTTGTCTGGGCGAGGACCATCGAGGAGCATCGCTGGCAACAAAGAGACGCGCGAAACCGAAGCATGCACTGGGAATGGACGTCCGAGCAATGGCAAGGATTAGGTCGGGCATGTCCCTCTACAGGAGGAGTATTCAAAAAAAGTAGTAAAAGATAGTATGGGGACGGCTTTTGGCAATTTTTGAATATTTTGGGGGTCTTTCTGGAGTATTATTTCTTTTTCCACCAAAGCTCCCCATGTACGGTAGGTTCGCGTCGTGTCGACCGGCGGCGACCCCAGCGCGGGCGTTCAAGGTTGAACGCCGCCGGCGACCCAGAATCGATCGATGTTGAACGATCGGACGTTGCGGCAGCGGCCGATCGTTCAAGGTTGAACGATCCCTGCGGTGTCAATCGGCACGACACGAACCGGCCGTAGGGGGACGCCCGACTTCAGGCAAGGAAGGGGCTCCCATCCCCTCCAGCACGCCCCTCGGGGCTCCTCGGCAGGGCCGCCCCTCCCCTCGCCCTGCCCACCTCTGTGCGCGCCGCCGTGGGCTCCAGGGGCCCAGGCTCCAATCGGGCCTGTCCCCTCTGCAAGAGGAGTGTCCAAACATGGTTTTAAGAAATGGTATGGGGACGATTTTGGAGCATTTTTGAATCTGGGGACGATTTTTGGAGTAGTTTTTGGAAAAAATAGTTTGGGGACGCAAAACAGTATGGGGACGATTTTTGAGCATTTTTTGACCATTTGGGGGTATTAGGTGACCATGTTTCATTTCTGGTCCAGAATCCCGAGATGTTGCTGCTCGCCGAGATGTTGGAGGCGGCCAGCTCGCCAGACTTGGCACTGGCTACAGATCTGGCGCGCGGTTTCCCTCTCGTCGGGGAGATGCCGCGCAGCGGCGCCATGCGCCCATGCACTCCGGGGCCCGGAGAGTCCCGGGGGCGGCTCCTCGTGGTCGCGCCGGAACAGAACGAGCGCATCCTCGGGAGAGTCATGGCAGCAGGGCATTCGGACGCTAACGTGGCCGAGGCCCTGCGCGACCGCGCGCGCGCCGAAGTGGAGGCTGGCCAGGCCTGCTGGCGCCCGCTGCCGCCGGGCCTCGCCGGCGTCGTGCTGTCCGCGTTTCGGCGCCGACGAAGGTTGGCGCGTCGTGGGCGGTTGGTGGTCCCGCAAGGTACGGGCCATCGACGACCTCACAGCCTCTGGGGTCAACGCCACGGCCGCGGCGCACGAGAGTGTCGAGCATGAAACGCTCGACACTTTGGCGGCCAATGTCCAATCCCTGGCCGCTGGCGGAGCCAGCGTGGAGCACGTGCGCTTCCGGAAGGACGATGTGTGCGGTGCATATAAGATTCTCCCAGTACGCCAGGACCGCATGCCGTTTGCAGCCGCCATAACGGCGGACTCGGTGGAGCGGGGCTCGTTCCTGCAGCTGCTTTGTTGCCCGTTTGGGGCCAAAGCGAGTGTCCACGCGTGGCAGCGCGTAGGTTGGGCCTTCCAGTGCATTTTGTTGAACCTGTTCAGCATAGTGTACCCGCGTTTCGTGGACGATTTTTTCGGAGTGGATGCGGACAGCGCTCTGCCCCGAGATGGCGCGGTCTCCAGTGCTTCCTTGGCGCGCCTGGTAATCCAGGAGCTGCTCGGGTGGCGGCTTGACCCTCGAAAGTCGGTCACGGCTGCTCGCAGCTTTGTAGCGCTCGGCGTGCGCGTGTCTCTAGACGCAGCGGCACGGCTGCTGCACTTTGTCGTCCCCGCCGAGAAATGCTCCAAGTGGCTGGCAGAGATTTCTGGCATTCTCGAGAGCCAGAGGCTCACGCCAGCACGCGCGCAGAAACTGGCGGGGCGGCTGAGCTGGGGCGCCGCGGAGGTATTCGGGAAAGGTGCCCGCGTGTACCTGGCGCCATTCTTCCGGCACGCTTGCGGCAGCAGCAGTCTGATGCCGGCGCGCCTGGTCAGGGCGCTCGATTGGTGGCAGCGTTTCTTGGCAACGCATCTCCGGAAGAGCATGCCACTGGAGCCGTCCGCCAAACCGCGTTTGGTGGTTTACAAGGACGTAACAGGTGCAGGCACGTTGGCTTGGGTCGCGGCGCTTGCAGGTCAGCGCTTGTTCTCGTCTGCGTTCGCGCCCCGCTGGCTCACCCAGTGGGCGAGCTTCCGTAGGCAGCAAATTGCCACGTGGGAGCTGGTCGCCGCCGTTTGTGTTTTGTGGTATTTCCTTGAATCTGCCGCGGGCGCCGGCGGCCTCGACACAGTGCTGTTCATTGATTCGTCGGTGGCGCTGGGCACGCCGCTTCGTGGCTGCTCGCGCCGGCGGGACTGGAACGAGTCAGTGTCCGGCATATGGTTCGCAGCGGCGGACCGAGGCCATATTTTGAATATTCTCTTGCGCAGCTGTGCTCTAGAGCTGGGACATCTTTATTCTCTTGCACAGCTGTGCTCTAGAGCTCGGACATCTTTATTTTCGTCGTTCGTCGTGTCGTTCGTCCCCCTCGCCCCCCCCCTGTCCACGCTTCCCAGGGTAGCCCCCCTGGGCCACGGAACCCTTTATTTTCGTCGTTCGTCGTGTCGTTCGTCCCCCTCGCCCCCCCCCGTCCCCCTCGCCCCCCCCCTGTCCACGCTTCCCAGGGTACCCCTCGCCCCCCCCCCTGTCCACGCTTCCCAGGGTAGCCCCCCTGGGCCACGGAACCCTTTATTTTCGTCGTTCGTCTTGGGTTCGTCCCTCCTCGCCCGCCCTCGCCCCCGTCGCCCCCCCCCCCTGTCCACGCTTCCCAGGGTACCCCTCGCCCCCCCCCCTGTCCACGCTTCCCAGGGTAGCCCCCCTGGGCCACGGAACCCTTTATTTTCGTCGTTCGTCGTGTCGTTTGTCCTCCTCGCCCCCCCCCCCTGTCCACGCTTCCCAGGGTAGCCCCCCTGGGCCACGGAACCCTTTATTCTCTTGCACAGCTGTGCTCTAGAGCTCGGACATCTTTATTCTCTTGCACAGCTGTGCTCTAGAGCTCGGACATCTTTATTTTCGTGTCGTGTCGTGTCGTTCGTCCCCCTGGCCCCCCCCCTGCCCCCCCCCGTCCAGGCTCCCCAGGGCAGCCCCCCTGGGCCTCCCGTCCAGGCTCCCCAGGGCAGCCCCTCTGGGCCTCGGACACCTTTATTTTCGTGTCGTGTCGTGTCGTTCGTCCCCCTGCCCCCCCCCCTGCCCCATCCCCGCCCAGGCTTCCCAGGCTCTTGGGGAGCCACTGGTCCTGGTCCTGGCCTCCCTGGCCCCGCTGGCCCTGGTGTCCTGGACCCAGCCTCCCCCCCCTGGCCCTGGCCACAAAAAGTGAACTCCTGGAGGAAGGAGGCGAAAGCTTCCTGTCTCCAGCAGCTCCTTTGTGCAAGAGCCAGGGCACGCGTGCCACTGTTTTCGTGTCGTGTCGTGTCGTGTTCGTTCGTCCCCCTGCCCCCCCCCTGCCCCCCCCCCCGTCCAGGCTTCCCAGGGCAGCCCCCCTGAGCCTCGGACACCTTTATTTTCGTGTCGTGTCGTCTCGTTCGTCCCCCAGCCCCCCTGGGTCTCGGACACTTTGATTCTCTTGCACAGCTGTGCTCTAGAGCTCGGACATCTTTATTCTCTTGCACAGCTGTGCTCTAGAGCTCAGACATCTTTATTTTCGTGTCGTGTCGTGTCGTTCGTCCCCCTGCCTTTCCTTTCCACGCTCCCCAGGGCAGCCCCCCTGGGCCTCGGACGCCTTTATTTTCGTGTCGTGTCGTCTCGTTCGTCCCCCAGCCCCCCTGGGTCTCGGACACCTTGATTCTCTTGCACAGCTGTGCTCTAGAGCTCGGACATCTTTATTCTCTTGCACAGCTGTGCTCTAGAGCTCAGACATCTTTATTTTCGTGTCGTGTCGTGTCGTTCGTCCCCGTGCCCCCCCCCCCCTGCACCCCCCCGTCCAGGCTCCCCAGGGCAGCCCCCCTGGGCCTCGGACACCTTTATTTTCGTGTCGTGTCGTGTCGTTCGTCCCCCTGCCCCCCCCCTCTGCCCCCCCCGCCCAGGCTTCCCAGGGCAGCCCCCCTGAGCTTCGGACACCTTTGTGCAAGAGCCAGGGCACGCGTGCCACTTGTTTTCGTGTCGTGTCGTGTCGTGTCGTTCGTCCCCCTGCCCCCCCTCCTCCAGGCTTCCCAGGGCAGCCCCCCCCCTGGGCCTCGGACGCCTTTATTTTCGTGTCGTGTCGTGTCGTGTCCCCCTGCCACCCCATGCCCCTCCCCCATCCAGGCTTCCCAGGGCAGCCCCCCCCCTGGCCTCGGACATCTTTATTTTCGTGTCGTGTCGTGTCGTGTCGTTCGTCCCCCTGCCCCCCCTCCTCCAGGCTTCCCAGGGCAGCCCCCCCCTGGGCCTCGGACACCTTTATTTCGTGTCGTGTCGTGTCGTGTCGTTCGTCCCCCTGCCCCCCCTCCTCCAGGCTTCCCAGGGCACGCCCCCCCTGGCCTCGGAATCTTTTATGTTCGTGTCGTGTCCGTTCGTCCCCCTGCCCCCCCCCTGCCCCCCTCCCAGCCCCCTCCAGGCTTCCCAGGGCAGCCCCCCCCCTGGGCCTCGGACACCTTTATGTTCGTGTCGTGTGTCGTGTCGTTCGTCCACCTGCACCCCTTTCCACGCTTCCCAGGGTAGCCCCCCTGGGGTGACTGTTTATTTCGTGTCGTGTCGTGTCGTTCGTCCCCCTGCCTCCCCCCTCTGCCCCCCCCCCGCCCAGGCTTCCCAGGGCAGCCCCCCTGAGCCTCGGACACCTTTGTGCAAGAGCCAGGGCACGCGTGCCACTTGTTTTCGTGTCGTGTCGTGTCGTTCGTCCCCCCCCCTCCCCCCCCCCTGCCCCCCCCCCCGCCCAGGCTTCCCAGGGCAGCCCCCCTGAGCTCGGACACCTTTTTTCGTGTTCGTGTCGTGCGTTCGTCCCCCTGCCCCCCCCCTGCCCCCCCCCAGACCCAGCTCCCCCGTCCAGGCTTCCCAGGGCAGCCCCCCTGGGCCTCGGACATCTTTATTCTCTTGCACAGCTGTGCTCTAGAGCTCAGACATCTTTATTTTCGTCGTGGCTCGTGGTGGTTCGTCCCCCTCGACCCCCCCCCCCGAGCCTGAGCCCTAGCTTCCCTGGGCCACCCTTAGGACCTCCCCTCCGTCCAGGCGCTTCCCAGGGCAGCCCCCCTGGGCCGCGGAACCCTTTATTTTCGTCGTGGCTCGAGGTGGCTCGTCCCCCTCGGCCCCCTCCCTGAGCCTGAGCCCCAGCTCCCCTGAGCCACCCACCCTTGGGAGCCTTCCTCCGTCCAGGCTTCCCAAGGCAGCCCCCCTGTGCCGCGGAACCCTTTACTGTCGTCGTGGTTCGTGGCTCGTGGTGGTTCGTCCCCCTCGCCCCCCCTGAGCCTGCTTTTGGGGAGCATGATCACGCGGGAGAGCAGCGCGATGCGCCGGGAGGAAATGATGGAAAAAAGAGCTGGTCCATCGTCCATTGATCGTCGTCGGTCAGCCTGCCGCCGTGGCTCTTGCTGCGGTTTTCAGGAGCCCTCTCAGTGGCTCCAAAAGGGAGGGCCGCGCGCGTCTCGCAATCCGTCCGGGGGCAACTGTGGACTTCGGGCGCCCAGGGCGCCCCGGCGCGCCGTGCGCGGCACCATCCGTAGCCATTAGGCCCAAGATGGACCGGAAACGTTTGCGGGGGAAGCAGCCTGGCGGCGATGGTGGCCCGGCTCTGGCCCCGCGCGCGTTGCCGGCAAGCCTGGCTGCGCCGCCACTGGCCCCGCCGGCCCTGAGCGAGTGGTTCGCCGCCGTGCTCAGGCGCGCGCCTCCTGAGTGCCATCCGCAGTCGCCCCAGTGCGTCTTGGGGGAGCTGGCTGCTGGCGGCGCCGTTGACGGAATTGATTTTTCCGGTTCGGGCGTGCAGGAATTGAAGGACGTGTGGCCGTGCCTCCGCGACATCCGTGACGAATTCGTGGCGGCCTTGTCCATCTGGTCGGCCCGCCCCGCGGCGGGGGCGCCCTCTGCGCAAGCAGGGGCACGCGTTCCGCGGGCCGCGCCCAGGCCGCCGCCTGGCGGAGCGCCAGGGGCAGGTAATCAGGCGCGACCAGGGGACAAGGCGCCGGATTCGGGACTTGCTGCAGAGGTCGGCGACGCGGCGTTGGCGGCGCTCGGGTTCCTCGCTGCAGCACGCCTCCGGCGCGAGGTCGTGGCGCCCGGGGAGCTGGCGGATGCGGTGCAAGCGTTGGGCCGCATCACGCCGGAGGAACTGCTCCATGCGTGGGAAAAGCGCCACGGGTCATTCCCAGCACCCCCTGGGAACGCGCGGCCCATATCAGGCCCGAGATGGCAGGGTTCATGGAAACGCAGGAACTCCTCAGGCGCGAGCTCCTTGCGTGGCATCGCAGCGCATGCAAGTATGCCTCTCCGGTGCGTTTGTGGGGGCAAGTGGCCCAGAACCTCGGGGTGGAACCCTGGCCCCCAGCGGAGCCTGTGCTGGGGGCGTTCGCTTTGCAATGCAGAACGGGGCCAGCCTGATGACGTACTGTACGCAGATCCGGCTGCTCCACATGCCGCTGAGGTGCTTGTAGGACACGTCATGCTTGGCGCGCGGGGCGAGCAAAGCATGACGTGGTCACCCAGCGTTACCGGGCGCGGGCGTCGGCGCGACAGACCCGATCCCTGGCGCAGCACGTTTGGGAGGCGCTGGGCGACCCTGCGACGGCGGATGCCTTCGTGGTGGCCAGGCAGTTCTGCTTCCGTTTCGCTTCCGAGCTGGTGCCCCTGCAAGCAGACGGGCCCCGCTCCAAGGCGGCCTGCCGACGGCGAGCGTGCATCTGCATATGCGCAAGACGTGCGCGGAGACAACGGTCGTGTCCAGGCGGTGCGTTTGCGCCCTGCAGTCGCGGCAGCTTTGCGGAGTGTGCGTGCTTCATGGCCGTGTTCAGACAGGCCGGGTGTTCCCGGGGTTGTCCTACAGGCACGCCTTGTCTCAGCTGAAGGTTGCGGCGCTGGCGTTGGGGTTCGAGCGAGCCGCAGAATGGGGCACACATGTCTTTCGCCGCGGCTGGGCCGACGAGTGCCTGGCTGCCGGGGGCGTCCCGGCGCTGTTCCACAGCGGGGGATGGCGCGGGGTGGCCGCCTTCGGTTACGCCTCGGCGGCGTCGCGGAGCGCGGCGACTGCGGCGGAGTGGCTTGTCGAGTTCTCGGAGTCGTCTGCGTCCGAGGGGGCGCCCTTGCCCTGAGCCAGACAGAAAAGGACGGCTCTTGCGTTGGTCCGCTTCGCCTGCGCATAGGGCTGGCGCCTTCCATTCCACCGTTCCCAGGCGCCCTCCGCGGCATCGCGTCCAGTGTTGCGGCAGGCGTAGGCTGCGGTCACGTCGCCAGCAGTGGGGTTGTGGCCTGGGTCGCCGTGAGCCCCAGCAGTGGGTCTCGAATTTTCTGTGAGGGTCTCTCGAGCGCCCAAGGCTGGCCGCACCGAGTGTGTTGCCCAAAGGTCCGTGCGGACGCACTGGGCCACCAAGGGGGGAGGCAGCCCACTGGAATCTTCATCGTCCCTGAACGTGGTTCCTGGGGAGGGAGATTCCAAGCAGGCTCCATCCCTTCTCGCCCTGGTTGGATTCGCAGACTCGTCCCTCCAGGTCGGTCCTCCTTCCGCCCGTGTCCGAGGTGGGGTATCAAGTGTCGGCATTCGCTGCCGAGGCAGTCTCGCTTGCTCCCGCGGGGTTTCGCGGGGGCCCTGTGAGGTTCCCCCCCTGTTGCTCGCAGGCGGCGCCTCTGTGGCGCCAGGGGTCCCAGGGCTCTCGTGGTGCGAACCTCCGAGGGCCCCGTCGCTGTTGAGGTGGCGCCTCGGTGCCGCCCGTGGTGCCCCAGGAGGGTTCTTGGCAGGACATCGCGTCGTCTGCAGGCCGTGGGCTCGTTGCTGGCGTCGCCAGCGTCCCCGCCCTCACTCCCTAGTGGGTCTGGTGCGTTGGCCAGCAGGGTCTCGAGTTTTCCGTGAGGGTCTCTCGAGCGCCCCAGGCTGGCCGGACCGGGTGTGCTGCCCAAAGTTCCGTGCGGGCGCACTGGACCACCCAGGGGGGAGGCAGCCCACTGGAGTCTTCTGGGGGAAAAAATAGTATGGGGACGAAAAATAGTTCGGGGACGATTTTTGATGTTTTTTTTGTAAAAACCATTTGGGGGTATTGGTTGGCTATTTTAAATTTCTCGTCCAGAGTCCCCCTGTGGGAGGACAGGCCCGACTTACGCCCAGGCCTCCCTCGCGCCCCCAGGCCTCCAGCGTGTGGAACCGCAGACACCGACGTCTCTCGGGGGCCCGCGCAGGACCACGCGCGGGCCTCCACAGGGTCGCACGGGGCCGCCGGGGGGGCCCACGCAAGGTCACGGGGCCCCAGGGCCGCCAAAGGATGTTTCCGGAGGGGAGGCCAGCCTTGTGGAAGTCGATCAAATCATGTTTCAAACATGTCTGAAACAGGTTAAAACATGTTTGAAACGTTTTTAGAACATGGTGTATACATTTTAAGCACATCTTTCATTGAGTGATCGGATTTTTAGAGTGTCTATTGTCGTCGACCGGAGGGGAAGCTGGCCCCGGGGAAAGGTTCGGGACTTCCAGGGCCCCCGTATTCGGGGGTGGACAGACCTCCTATCCTGACACGTCGATTAGCGAATTGGCCGTTTTCGGTCCGCGAGAGGGCGTCGCGGCCGTCCTTCTTGCGGGTCCAGGTCCGCCGGTTTCGGTCCCAGGCCGTCTTCGCTAAGGGGAGGTTTGCTAAAGCGAGGTTTGTCCACCGCCGGCGTGTGGAAAAGGCAGTGCGCCGGATCTCCGGGCCCTTGCCCCTTCCGGAGGAGAGCCTGCGGGGCCCCAGGGGGGCCTGCAGAGGCTTCCGCAGGCCCAGGGCGGCCCAGAGCGTCGGAGAGCGAGCCTCGGTCCTTCTCCCCCGTGCTTCCCCCGCTCCCCCCCCCCCCTCTCTGGACGGCTCTCTCTTCCCCCCGCCCGCCGACTGCCCGCCAGGGACTGGGCCCGCGCTCACTGTCGGCGGCGTCCCCCATGGGGTCGCTCGACCTGCCGTACGAGCCGTCGAGGCCAGCGCGCGCTCGGGGAGGTGCCATCGTCAAAGGTTTGAGGCTCGATTTTCTACGAGGATCGAGGAAGGAGCGGCCAGGATCCTGGTTTTGAAGGTTATCGTGTCTTTTCTATATTTGCTGGACTTCCGTGGACGTGTGAAGGCCTCTGGAGACCTCCATGGATCGAGACTGTTCCGTTGTTTGAGTAATGTCGGCCTCCTGCAGGGACGTTCTCAGGCTCCTTGACCGTCAAAGCGATTCCTGACCAGAAGCTAGTTCCCAAGAGTTCTGGAGCCTGCGCGTTGAAGAAGTCATGATGTCGGATGTCAGGGTCCCATCTTCTCCCTGCTTTTTGTCCTTCCTCCCTGCTCCGTCCGTTCTCCCTCCCCCTCCGTCAACTGAACTGCTCCAGCTTTCTTAGCCTTGGCGCCTGAGCCGGGGGAATGGCTAGTGCAGGCCGGTGCTTGGCGCTTCTCTGGTCTCTCGGCCCGATGGGCGACCCGCCGAGGTATGCCTCGGCTACCCTTTCTCGTTCCTGCCGTCACTGGTAGTACGCACCCGAGGATCCACTGGCTGGCAGCGACAATCTAACCCCTCAAGAGCCCCATCGCGACTCAAAGGTGTGAGGGCACACCCAAGTTGATGCCTCACTAATGCGTCGTGGCATGCGAAAACACCGGGTCCTCTGCCAGGCCTGGTCGAAGTTCCGACGCAACGCCAGGGACCGCGATCAGTACATCGGGGACGAAGTGCTACCCGACAGTGGTCAGAATACCCACCACGGGATTTCGAGATCAGCTTGTGCAGGATCTCCACGGCCGGGGCATTCACATTACAGTTCTCACGCGAGACGGATACTCAGGTGCAGAACGAGGCGCTCTTGGACTGCCCACCCAAAAAGTTTCTGGAACAGCCATGCCCCTTCGGATGAACGGGGGATGGATCACCGCTGGAAAGAAGAAGCTAATCGTTGGTACCAGCACGGGAAGATAATGCCATGCATGTTTGCGCTTTGGCCCTCCCCTGAGGACCTCGGAAGCTCGAGCGCGTGTTTAGGCCGCGTGCCTCTCCGCATGCCCAGACCGTACACCGGGCTCTCCGCTGGCAATGCGCGGAGTGTGCTTGTACTTTCACTCCCAAGACAGGGCCGTTTGCCGAATGCGGTGACCTCCCCCGAGCCTTTTTGCTCATTTGCAGGATGTGAAGAACGGGCAATTTGGCGCCAACCATTCTTTGTCTTCCGACGCCTCCGCATCGACCAGGCCGTGCTGGCTTGTCTGCGTTGCGGGGCGCACAATGTGGAGCGGCCAGAAGGTCAGGAGCTGCAGCGCGTGGAGATTCAACACGCAAGCGTCTGATGTAACACGCAATCGACCGTTTTACCTTATCAAAATAACATATTCGTAGCTTCTGGCCTCTTCGTGCTGAGTTGGCAGAGTGGTGGGGCCGCGCCTGATCAAAGCGTGGTGGGATCGTCTCGGATCTTGTTCTCGTCGTTTAGTCATTCCTTCGGCGGCCTCCGCGGGACTCCTGGTCGCCGCGGGAATGACCGCTTGAAGCATGCAGCTGGCCGCTCTCTGAATGGCCTGGTACGAGCGTGTTTCTTTATTGCTTGGGGCATGACGGGCGTCATGGCCCCCGCCGCAGCCCCCCCCATGACGTAACGCTCCCCCCCTCAGTGCGCTCGCACTGCCGCCGTGCGCATCGGGATCCGCACAGGTGTCCGCATAGGAATCCGCATAGGAGTCTGGTCCGCAGTCGTCGTCGTCGTCGTCGTCGTCGTCGTCGTCGTCGTCGTCGTCGTCGTCGTCGTCGTCCTCGTCCTCGTCGCTCGTCGCTCGTCGCTCGTCGCTCGTCGCTCGTCGCTCATCGTCGTCGTGCGCGCGGACGCGGCTGGAGCCTGTTTTTTTATTCCGGGCCGATGACGGCAATCATCTGTTTGTGAGAGGGGCCGATGTCGTCACGTTTCGCGCCGGCGGCGTCTGGGAATGCCTAGGACTGACCGAGGACGGGTAGCAGCAGCATGTGGGTGGCGATCTGCACCGCAACTCTTGTGTACACCACAGATCCTGCGTGCACCACAGCCCCTGTGTACACCGCCTATGTGCAACAAAGCGCCAGTGTGTGCCACAGTGGGCACCACAGCGCTTGTGTACACCACAGCGCCTGCGTATACCACACCAACCGTGTGCAACACAGCACCAGTGTACACAACAATGCCTGCGTACGCTGCAGCACCTGTGTGCATTACGGCGCCTGTGCGCTCCAGAGCAACCGTGTGCAACAGAGCACCACTGTTATCGGAGGTTGGGGGGTGAGGTCGAAGTGGAACGCAGAGCCCCCCACCGGGAAATCGGTTTCGGTTTCGTGTTCGTGCGTGCCGTGCGTGCGGGCGAGGCGAAGCTGCGTGGGCGGGCGAGAGGAAAGTCTCCTGTGGCTGAGGTGCGGCCAGACCAAATGATTCTCCCTCCGGCAAGCGGTGGCCCGTGATGTCCCGCCGGTGTCCCGGTGTCCCGCTGGTGCGAAAACGGTAGTGGGACCGATGACGAAATCGATCGTGAGATCGATAGTGAGATCGATAGCGAGACCGATAGTGAGATCGATCGTGAGATCGATAGTGAGATCGATAGTGAGATGAAGGGGGATGTCGCTTGACACGCACGTGTAACCAGGCTTTGCAGTTGTGCAACGCTCACACAAGTGTAAGCCACATCTTTTTCGAAACGGAGTCCTCGCTGGACAGCTCTTTGACTTGTATGACCATGCCGTCTCTGCAGTTCTTATGGCCAGAAGGATGGAGGTCTGATCCTTTACAGGATGGGGTCTCGCCTACATGATAGGACCACGGCGCGGTCGTCTGTCAAGGGGGGCGCTTCCCGCAGTGGAAGAAATTCTCGTCGGGACTTCTTGAGTAGGGGACCTGTGACGGGAGAGTATACTGCAACATCGTTGATGCATCTTGGGCTTCCTCTGGTCCTCCTCTTCCTCCTCCTTCCTCAAAAGTCGGCCCCAGGACCAGGTGCGCGGCCCATGGCAGCGAGGGCGAGGGCGCCTTGGGAGGCCCACTGAGGGGCGAACGACATGCAGGCAGAAATCTCGATCCTCGAAGTTCGATCATCGAATCTCCCTCCTCTATGCGTGCTCCTCCATTCTCCTCCTCCTCCTCCTCCTACCCCTCTGCCTTCCGTGCCTTCCCCTCCTCCCGCGAGCGCGCGTGCGCGCGCGCGGAAGGGGGACACGGCCCAGAGGCAGAGCGACGACGACGACGCCGCCGACCACGACGACGCCGACGAATGGCGACGCCGACGACGACGACGACGACGACGACGACGACGACGACGACGACGACGACGACGACGACGGTGCCGACGACGACGAAGACGACGACGACGAAGACGGCGACCGACCGACCGACCGACGACCGACGACGAGAGCGACTAGCGGCGCAGAAGACGACGACGAACACGGCGACGACGACGGAGACCATGCCTGCCGACCGATCGACGCCGGCGACCGGCGACCGACGAAGGACGACCCGCGGCAACGGCGACCGACGACGGACGACCCGCGACAGACCGACGGCGACCGACGCGCGCGCCGCAGCCCCAGCCCGATGTCGTCGCTCGGCGGCGCCGACGTCCCCCTCGACGCCACGGGGCGGGCGGGAGGGCGTACCCAGGCCATCGAGGACCACGGCCTTTTGGGG